AAAAAAAAACATTTCTGCTATGATGCATCCAACTCTGGTCTTCTCACACTTCTGCTCTCATTTCCTAAATCCCCCAATCATAATTAACATACGAAGGACACCCATATAATCATCAAGTTTTCTCGCCACTCCGCTCAAACAATGTGCATATATCATCAATCACAATCACCATTCAGTCATAAAAAGCAAGAAAAAATAGGTTCGATTTTTGTTTTTCCAGCACACTTCTATCCCCTATGTATAACACGCAAGAAAGGATATAAAACACTTTTCAACTTCCTGAAATCTGATTTTTTTACGGATATACCTCATCTCTCGTCGACACGCATATACAGTAGTCCCAGAAATACGGACACAAGAAAAACGTACGAACTTATTCCAATAAGCTCTCAGATGATAAGAAACAAAAGCGTTTGATATCGCTTTCAACAATGCTCGAAAATTCCCATTGGTACTCGCACAACAATTTCCAAACAAGAACAAGCACTTTTGTTTTTTAGCTGAATATAACAAGTGTGGCATTTCTTATTCACTTTTCTGAAGTGTATACAAACAGCTTTACAAATACTGTACTTTGTATATAACCTCTCACCATACTTTCAACACATTAGGCTGGTTTAACCAATTCCATATGAGAAAATCTTTCTAATATAAATGCTCATTTAATATGTTTAAGAAATTTCAGTCTCTGAGAAGTCCTGACGCCAAAAAAAAAGCAACTGCTCCTCCGTTTTAGTCTAAATTTTTTGGGGATGCATACTTGAAATGTTTACCAAATTGTTTCCAATTTTTACATACAGTTATTCCTTAACGAAATTTTCGAAGCGGTTTCGCAATATTGTCTCCAACTAATTTTAGGCATTGAAAAAAAAGAATTTAGGCAAAAATGTACAACCCAAAATTTGTTTCTCAAAATTTTGGAACATTTTCTTCATAAAACTCACTATTGTATCCGTTTGTGATAAAGGAAGACGCTTATTGATAGGAATAAGTCAACACTTCATCGCATTATAAATAAATGCACGAACACATATTTATTTAAAGTTTCTCAATACCGTATGTTTTGTAATCGAGGAGAAAATACAGCAGAGATCGAGAAACAGCTGCTAAAAATAGATCACCGGATTTTTTCCTTGCTGTATTTTCTATACGTTACGACGGAGAGAAAAACAGATAATTTAAAACAAGAGCAGACATTTTGAAAAGCCTAAAATTTCAGTCATGCCCTTAAAAAAATTCTACCACAAAAAATGGTCATCAAGAGCACCATAGATAATTAAATAGGCAACAATTGAAATTACTTCACCTCCAGAAACTCACGAAATATTTTTAGTTTCCTCGAAAAAAAATGAATGCGTCCTTTGCTCGGGCATTTCCAAATTTTCTTTCAAAAACGAAACAATAAATACAATATTTGAAAAGCTCGGAGGTTTAATCCTCTGCTGGGGAATCAGATCGTGGATGTTTTATATCCAGGAAGACAAATGTATGCAACGCAAAAAAAAAGCAAAAGACAAAACCAAATTTCTTGATAAACGCGGGTCACAGGGGTTGACTTAATTTTGCCAAATAAAGGCGTCCATCATGTATACGTCTATGTATATTTGCAACTCGGAATTTTGTCGAGAAATTTCCCACACCATCAGCTGCTTTTTATTTTGCGGAGATTTTCTTCCTTTCCGTCGCTCTTTTTTCTTAGCTTAAAAAAAGAGGAAAATAGAAGGTGAAAAAGCCTCGTATGTCCAGGGTGACCACCAAAAAAAAAATTAAGAGCAGGACTCTCACATGGCAGTCAGCTCAACGTGTCCAGCTGCTTCGACATCAGATGGCAAAGCTCTGTTGTACTTTTGACCATTGATTTTGTCCCATTCTTCTTCTTCCTCGTCTTCATTTTCGTTGAATTTGCGGGACTTGTGCGCTGCCGTCGAGTCGTCCAGTTCCTTTTGGCTCAGGTGCGCGACTATACCTGCCCCCAGGGCATCGCCCAGCACGTTGATTGCTGTCCTGAATCTGTCCCTATAAAATTTAAAAAATAAATCATGATCATTCAAATTTCTAAACACATAACCAATTCCAGGAAAGAAAAAAAAAACAAGGAGAGCAACACGAATCTTCGAAATATTCAGAAGCAAAAGGCGTACAGTATTAAAAGGCGTCTGATTTCTGCGCAAACATTCCATAAAAATTTGCGGCAGCCATTGGAAAAAATCTGCATGCATTCAAACATTTTAGTTTTGAAGAAAAAATTGGTTGCTTTCCATAGACAAATAAATTCTTTTCTAGGAAAATCACTCGTTTTGTAAGAAAAGGTTTTTTTAATTATTGGTTTTGTAGAAACATTATTTGCAGAAAAATACTGTAACTTGTTTTGCAGAAAAATCACTTGTTTTGCAGGAAAAGAACACTTGCTTAATCGAAAAATCCCTTGTTCTGAACATTAACTAATCGCAAAAATCCACCTCATAAGTCATATAATAACCCATGAAAGTATGCTGAGAAATACTGGAACGAAGTTAAGCAGTTTTTTTTTCAGAAATACAGTACAAGAGCAAATACAGTACACATTTTCAGGAATTTATTATGAAAAAATCGTCTTTGTGAGTACTCAAGGGAATGTGCTCAAAGAAGAAATGATGTATGCGAGAAGAGGAAACGTACAAGAGCCAGTCGACAGCGACGATAAGGCTGACGTCTTCAGCCGGCAGACCGACAGTGTCGAGCACCATGACGAGAGTGACGAGTCCTGCTTGAGGAATTCCTGCTATCCATGTTAATAGTGGCTCCAATGGGCAAGACGAATCGGGAAATCCGCGGATCAACGCCATTTCTGTTTTCCAAACACCTGAATATACAAAAAAAGCAAGGTCATGACCCTATCATCAGCCTGTCTTGAGCCTGTCATCAGTGCAGAATGATTTTTGCTTTGTTATCCTTTGTGTCTTGGACTTCTGCTGCATATGTAATATCTAAAAACTTGCTTGGGACAATTTGAAGTGTAGCTGTAAAGTATATTATATATTTAAATGGCAATTCTACCAAGAATTCCCAGCCCTGGTCCTGCTGGGCTGAATACTTGGCTTACTTTCTCCAAACTTTTTATCCACCTACAGACGAGTCATTGCTTCATCTTTTGTGGTGCTGTTGTATACCCAACATAATTGAAAGACTATTCTGGCAAATTAACTCTTGCCTTCATCAATTCCAACATCCTTTCAACTCATTTAACCCTTGGATGGCAGCAGATCAATTTCCATTGCACAGCAACGTCGGGAACATTTTGCACACTTGTCTGTTATGGTTTGAGTGACCAAAGGTCACCAAAACATAGCTTCAGCTATAAGTAGTTACAGTCAGAAAAAAAATCCAAGGAAGCAAGAAACATTGTCTTGAAAATCCCAAAATAATAATTCAAATACTGCAGGAATGCAGAAAAAAATTCCACCCACAGGAGTAAAATTTTTTTTTTTTTACAAAATATCAGCATGCAGGAATTAAAAAAATCGGTATTTTTCCTGACTTTGGCTCTTGGGGGTCATACTATAGTTATTCCTCTTTTTATTTTTCGATTGGAACAAAATTGTGGGAATAAATCCGGGCAGCACCGCCCAAGGGTTGAGAAACAATTTCAGCTACGCCCAGAATTTTGCGATTGAAAACTTCCTGCAAATTTTGTATCTTTCCCATAATGAAAAAGCTTGTCTCTAATTTTTGTTTGCTGGTCCCTTCTGGAAATTCGATTTGAAAAGAGGTTTGACTGCATCATTTATGTATATGTATACAGTAAAATTGCATCACAAAAACTTGTGGGGACTTCAGACAAAGTTTGTTATAACGGATAATTTGTTGTAATGAAATTTTCAAAATTTTGACTGAATGGGAACATTTTCTGAAAATTAAACCTGCATGCATTCAATATCTTCCTTTTTTGGCCTTTTCAGCATTTTAAGAAACTGATAATTTCATAAAGAAATTCAAATGTCTAGAAGAAGTCTTTAATCTGAATAACAGGTGATGGACACTAGAAATTTTTGTTGACTAATGTTTTCTAAGCAATTCCTGCACAGATTTGTAAGGGTGGATGTTCCAATCATAAAGAAATTCAAATGTCTAGAAGAAGTCTTTAATCTGAATAACAGGTGATGGACACTAGAAATTTTTGTTGACTAATGTTTTCTAAGCAATTCCTGCACAGATTTGTGAGGGTGGATGTTCCAAAAAAACTTGGAATTTTAAAGGATCAGCATGACTTCTCAAGCATAGGGATCCTTTTTAACATGAGTTTTACTGGGTTACTTTTTTTCATCAACCCGCCCCCCATCTTTCCTAACCCCAAAAAAAATTTGAAAAAGAAAAATTGACCAAGTGGATTTTTAATAATTTTGATCATTGATTCCACCTCAACAACCAGTCACAGGCACAGTTTGAATGGAAAATTGGAGACTGTGCCTGCCTTCATTTTGGAGATTTTTCATTCAGAAATCACAACATTTCCCCCCCCCCCCAAAAAGTTTGTTATACTGGAATTGGTGAATTTGTTATTCACTAACAAAATTTTCATAATATGTACCCTATAGGCCTATAGGATTTCTGCTGGGACTTGGAAAAAAGTTTGTTATACTGAACAATCTGTTGTAATGGTATCTTGTTGTAACGAAAGATTTCACTGCGTTTCAGACCTGTAGGTGACAGGCAGGGTCGCAGAGCTGCTCGCAGTGCCGAAGGCCGTCGTGACAGCCTCAGTCATGTTGAGCACGAAGCGGAACGGCAGGGTTCGCGTGGCCAGTCCGTAAATAGTCGGCAGCACGATGAATCCGTGGAAAAAGAGACCCACGAGCACCGTGACAAAGTACATGCCCAGCTGCCCGACAATGACCCCGAAGTCGTTCATCTCCAGCAGTTGACCCGCGATGAGGAAGAACACGCCGATCGGCGACAACATGATGACCCAGTTGGTGATGACCATCATGGCCTCGGCGAGACAGGCGAAGAAGTCGTGCAGGGGTTTGCCCTTGGAGCCCATTTTGCACAGGGTGACGCCCAGGATGAAGCTGAACATGACGAGGCCCATGATGTTGGTGCCTTCTTCGTAGGAGCCCTTGATTTCCCAGTTGTACAAGGATTTGTGATCCAGCTTGTCGTTTCCTTTCGTAAATTGAGATGACGGTATGATATACACACATAATGAAAACCAAAATAAAATACAGTTCCTGCTGACATTGATAAACTTGAACATGATTACCCATCTCAAATCAGCAATCTTGCCTATATACACACATACGGACACCTCAACATGGGGACAATTTGACATAGGGACATTTATTTTTCAATAAAAAATCATAAAAAGACCCGACATAGGGACACTGACTCAACATGAGGACATTGCATGATAAAATTGCTGATAAATTTTAGGAAAATTGGCTTTTGTAGGCTTAATTGCAAGAAACAGATATTTCCAACCCTAAGATCTATGCAAGAAAATTTCTTTGGTACTTTTCCCATCACTTGACCATCCATTCAGCTAATTTTAAAAATTACCTATAGCATAGAGGGACTTCCTTCTCTTTTTGTGACTTGGATGTTATTTTTAGAGATGCCAAAATTTCATTAAACTGTACAGCGGTATACTATTCAATGCTCCAAATGTTCTTATTGGGTTGAAAAAATATTCACTGAATCAAATTGAAGTGGCAAACACAATTTTTTTCATGGAATTCTGAAGAATATTTCTTCCATAAAACATCAATTAAAAATTATATAATGTAAGTCTATGAAAAACCAAGACTGAACCTAGGGACAATCTTGATGCACCAATTATGTCTGCATCTGAGGGTCTCACTGTACAACAATATTCTCTGTACAGGTAGTACCTTACAATTTGGTGGTTAAATTAGCAGGGAGGTTGATTTGCAATTCGACCCTTTCCCCGCAATTTGGCCCTATTTTGGCAATGAATTCGGGTCGAATTGCGAGGTACCACCTGTATATAAATTATTTTTCCGCTAGAAGGCGTTGAGAATTATAATTGGCTGGGACTCTGTTATTCAAACTTACAAAAAATCTCGTTTTTGACCGATTTTCGATATCCAATGAAAAACTCGGCAAATTTCACACACATTTCCAATTCTCATAACAGATAAATTTCGGAACACCAATTCAGACTTCGACTTGATCAAATGGATTAATATTCACATGTATTATTTTTTGCCGATTGATGATGAACTTGATAAGACGAGGTTCTATATGGACTCATTTTTAGTGGAATTTGATTTCGTCGAATGGTATTATTGCCTTTTTAGCTCTGCTATTATTGGTTATCGCCTTTGACAGAATAAGTGAATAAAGTTAAACCCTAAGCGCGTCACAAAAGCGTTTACTCAAGAAATAATCCCAGCATTTTTTAAACGGCATTATCAAGTGACATTATTTTTACTTTGGTGGGCAGATTTTCAACCGGAAGAGAATTACCGTTGAGTCACCCTCAGCTGGATATTCATATTCTACCCTTCTATGGAGGGGAGGTAATATTTTCAAAGTACGCTACAATGACTCTTTTCATTCATTTTTAATCTGAAAATTTAAATTGTGAAGATTCTCTTTCATGCTTTCAAGTATTTATGACCGAAATCAAACATGTTGTGGTGCACTGGTAAAAATGAGAGAAATGTGTCACCCGGGTGCGTAACGTATTGGAAACATGAACTATGAGAGGAGCGACACCTAGACAAAGTCATAAGTCTATGAGCCTTTCGATTCCACTCAGCCAGCTAGGTGACGAAAAGAAACCAGGTAAAGCGCGAGTCGTATATTCGCTAAATTTTCCTCAACCAATTCAATTTATGCATACGAATGTACAATCTGCAATTCAGAGATATGGCACGCAATAATTACATGAAAACTATCTCTCAGAATTGCATTCAACTAGAGATGGCTTTAAATTTAAATGGTATATAAATGCCAATTTTTACGGTCCGTTGAATTTCTTTGTGGAAAGAGTTAACTTTTATTGCAACTGTACGCGCAGCGAAAACTTGAAAAAAGTTTATGAGTTGCAATAATTGCTGTAAATGCAAATATCGAGGGAAAAAGTAGTTTTAACGTATAGGCTGTAACCAGAAAAATAAAATACTATTCTCACTACTGCTGCACCTCCTCATCTGAGTCGCAGAAAACTTTCTTCGCCGCATATCAATAACAAATATTCGAATTTTGCGGTTACGTGAATTCGGTGAATGCATATAAGTTTGCATTGCAAATTTTCAATCCCCTTTCAGTTCCTACATACTTTTACATGCATGCACACAATTTAGAGAAATCAGAACACGACTTTTACCATTATTCATCGGTGTTGCCATCTCGGGGTGCTCAGAGGAAAGGTCATACAAAGACGTTATCGGAGTCCGGCTGCTGGTACTTGACACCCAACCATCATCATCGTTAGTTGATGGAGGAGGAGGTGGAATCAGCTTCGTTCGATACTGAAACAATACACAAATACACACACGCGCACAAAAATGAGAAATATCATATTGAAAATAAACAACATATCCGTAGAACGACGGTATATATAAATGTCTGTGATACATGTCAGGAGTAATTCCCAAAAGTTGCTGGCACCCAAATGTTTAGCCAGCTAATCTCCATTCTTTGAAAATATGCATGTTTTGGTGAGCCTGTGAACTGAACCCAAGTTTGGTTCCCAGGCTCCTCAAAGACAAGAAAAAGGTCTTCCTTTATTGAAATTGGTCGAACTCAACCTCCAACTCTAATCTGAAGAGTTGACCTTTTCTCTTTTTTCCAACCAAAAAGCAAATACAGTACTGTGTTGTGGACTGAACTCCAGCTGATCTCTCAAGAACAAGCCATTTTTTGCACATTTCTTCTTGTGCTGTTGAAATTTGCCCAATTGTGACTTTGCAAGGTTCTTGCATTCCACTCAAACTTCTGTTTTAGAAGCAATACAACAACTTCGTACTATGGGTGTAGTCCAAAAGCCCCCCTAGGTCAAAAGCCCCCCAGCCAAAATCACCCCTTTGCGCAAAAATTGGGGATTACAGGTATTCTTGTAACTCTTGATGGTAAGCTGAACCTTTCACCAGGTACTCTTGTAACTCTTGGTGGTAAGCTGCACCTTTCACCAGGTATTCTTTAAAACTCTTGATGGTAAGCTGCACCTTTCACCAGGCATTCTTTTAAACTCTTGATGGTAAGCTGCACCTTTCACCAGCAGGCCCAGCACAAGGCCAAGTACCAGTATGTTTGTAAGTTGAGTATATTAAAGGATTCCTCACTTGCAGTGGTCATCAGTGATTCTTTGAATGTCAAAGCATCATCACTTGCTGACTTCTGCAAAATCTACAGTTCACCTTGTTGATCAAATGGCTCGTGCACTTCAGATAATAAAAAATCAGAAGGGTGGTGAAGAGGCATACTACAATGGCTATTTATTCATGGTTAAGAGCCCAAATGCCAGTACTAGGTGCTGGAAATGTGCTAATGAAGAAGGAGATGATATAAGAGGGCCACATTCAGAAGAAAATGACATTGAGAGCATCAGTGACACTGAGGAAGAGGCTGCAGAAGGCAATTTTGAAGATGATTAATCACTAGTCATTTTGAGGACTAATGAAACCAAGCAGCCCTTCTCAGGGCCACCAAACAATGTTATGAAACTTGCATAAAAAAGTGGGGGGGGGGGGCTTTTGGCAGGGGGCTTCTGACCTATGGGGTTTTGGCAGGGGGGCTTTCGGTTGGGAACCGTCTTTAGTTAGGCGGGAACTCAGCTGTATATAGTACTTACGCATAATCCATACTTAAACGAAGCCAACAAAAAAGGTGATCATTCTGAGTGAGTTCTGCTTGAATTGTTGAATTTCATCATTAAAAAACAATTCATTCAAAGGAATAAAATGTTCATGATGAATAATCTTGCGCCTCTGATTCCTTTTCAAAAAGAAAAATCCTCCAGATTATCATGAAACTCTTGCAAAAACTCCTCGAAGGGAAATAAAAAATTTACTTTCATTCACATGAATAAGATACATTTTCTACACCCTTTTCGGAGAAAAAAAATTGAAGAAACTAATTCCGGAGGATTATCATGATAAAGCGATATCCTCATCGCAATAAGACTCTCGAGAAATCCTCTGGTCCCATCGATGTTATCTGTGCAGTTTATTCGAATCAAAAGTGACACAGGGCACACGAAGAGCTGCCTTTGATGACTCATTTCCTCTGATTGACACGCGACGAGAAAGCCAGAAAACGTGTCGACGACGACGACGACGAGTGACAGCCTGTAAAAGAACTAGACAATCCAGCAAATGAGGCCCCACGTACGTACCACCTCTGCATGAAAAGCCCAAATATATATATATATATATAGATAGATAGATATAGATATATATATCCTCGTGTCAGACACATGAAACGCTTTGATTGCTCCCTATGGTGTCAATTACAACACTACATGGTCCTCCTCATCTTCATCATCATCGTCATCGTCAATAACACGCGCATCTGACACATAACGAACCCGAGACACATGCCCAGGGGGTCTCCTATATCAGTGTTCCCCAACCTTTCTGGACCCACAGACTGGAAAATGTTCATAAAATTGTCTGCAAAGATAAAATTTGCTTTTTATTCAAGCATGAATTGATCATAATAGCCATTTTAATTCTTAAACAGTGAACACTTTTCACTGGAAATTGGAGTGTGCGCCTCATGTGGGGATGCAATGTTTACTCAATTTAATGATGCTCAAAAAACATGGCTTTCAAGTTACAGTACTTCAGCTGTGCACATGTTCTTCTTGTTAAAAAAAATTCAGAATTATTACAGCAAACTAATTTTTGATTATGTGTACTATTTTTCCATGATTTCAGGAATTTCTGATATTTCACCACAGATTTTTCGATTGAAAAAACCCACTAACGGAATAATTAAATTTATAATTAAACTAGCACCAGATTAAATCAAGAAACGGATCTGGCAGTCCATACAGGAATTAAATGTCAATTTTAATCAAAAAACATGAATTTGATTGCAAATGTTATGATTTGCCAGCAGAAGAGCAAAAACCTTGCGTTGAAGAAATCAAAAACTCATGCTCTTCAAAAGAGGAAGTTCTTGAGAAAATCTTCATATGATAATATTTGATTTAAAAAGAGCCATAAGAAAAAAGAAAGAATTCTTCTCTCAACAAAAATTTCATATTGATCCTAAAAAACGAATTTTTGGTCAATAACTACAGGGTCCCTTTAAGATTGCTAGATTCTGAACAAAACATCAGAATAAAACGATTTTTAAAACAAGATATTAATTTAAAATTTATATTCTTATTATAAAACAATTTAATTCTCATCATAAGTCTGTTGAATCCATATTCCACCAGCACAACATCGTTTAACATAAAAACCCAGCAGTTAATGCACTACTCATTTGGATAAATGGACTATTTTCTTTTGCTCAAGCCTGCATTCACGACCCGAGGAGTCCATTAACCGAGACACAACACATGAACAAGCTTCCACCCTGCAGAATCGACGACGTATAAAAAAAAAAATAAAGAAAGAAAGAAAAAACCCACGCTGAAAACGGCGGCCTGGACGACATTGGGCGGAAACACGTTCCGCACCAGGTCCATGAGAGTGTCGGCCGTGGTGATGTTGCGAACGCCGCCTTCCCGGTGGATGTCGTCCGCATTCCCCTGGCCCGGGTGAATCGTGCTCACCAAAATGAGCCCCAGAATGACCGCCATCACCGTCGTCAGCATGTAGTACGCCACTGCTCGCATTCCGATCTTCCCACTCAGCGACAAGTCCAGTCCACTCACGGCTGACACCAAACTGACCGAGTCAAATGAAAATATACATGCAGACACGCGCAGCATTTATGCAAATAAAGCAGTTCCTTTTTTGGTAATACAAAAAAAAGAGTTGAGTAAAAAAAAAAAAAACCCCTCGGGGAATCAAAACTTACTGGCTCCACCCTAATCAAATTTTCTGCTGCCCTTGTTATGCTTTTGAACTTGGACTAAATTTTCAAGCGCCTGAAAAACAAGATACACCTTTTTTTCTGATTGTTCCTTTTGGGTTGAAAAGATATTCACTGAATCAAATTCAAGCGGCAAACAAGATTTTTTGTTCATGGAATCCTGAAGAATATNGAACCCGAACGCCACACCGCCCAAAACCCCGCTCACCGTCGCTAAAGTGAGCGCGTTTTTCCGCAACCAAGTCGGGCACTTCATTGTGCCGTCGCCGCCGCTACCACCGCCGCCGCCGCCGCCGCCGAGTACCGCTGCAACACGGCTACCGCCGCCGCCAGGGACAGACGTGGACGAGCCCCGGCCTCGGATGACGACGAGCCGGACCCCGCCGCCTTGACCGTCCTCGTCGTCGTCTTCTTCGTCTGCGTCCGCGTCTACGTCGCCGACGTCGCCGTCGCAGCCGCCACCGCCGCCGCCGCTGCTTGGTCTCGGTCCACTGACTGCGTCGTGGCTAAGTGCGCTGCGGCTGCGCGACTTATTGGTGTCGTCCGGGCTGAGTGCCACTACTGACGAGGAGTGGCGAGTGCTGTCGGCCGACGGCGAGATCAAGTCCTCCGCCTCCTTCTTTCTCTGCTCGTCATGATGGACATATCAATGGAAAAATTAGTCACCGACAGTAACCCATCGAAGTTTAATTTCGAAAATAGATAATATGTACAGTTGATATATTCGACGTCTCTCTCGCTCTCTTTTTGTCGAAAAATTATTAAAGTTGCGAATATTTTGGCAGCTTGAGAAACATTTTTTTCAATTTGAAAAATCGAACAAAAAAGCAAGCAATTTTTTTTATTTCAGTTACAATACTTTATTTTTATTTTTATGAAATAGTATTCCATCAGGAAAATTTGCATAAATGTTTTACACCTAGATTAATTCTCTTTTGTTCAAAATTTTTCCTTTTTTACATTTACAAACGGCGTTCGAAAAAAATACAAGAGAAAAATAAATAAGTGAAAAAATCTTCTTTTTCGTCGTGGACATGGAACACGATTCTGGTCATCGTCATCTTTTTCCTTTTTTTCTGTGGGTACTGGATATGCACAAATTTTGAGATTGAGTAATTGCGAAACGTTTATGCACCATAAAGCTGCGCGGTTTCATAAATTTCGGCAAATTAGAAGAAACGTATTCATTTAATTGGCGTTCCTCTATACGAATTTGCTACATCTTTGATCTGTGTTATGCATTATGTTAGGGTCACTATGTGACCATATGCTTTTTTCGCGGTTTTGAAGTTTTTAACAACTTCAGACTTGCTTCTATTATTATTATTTACATACGCATTCTTTCCAATGGGTGGAAAAATTCAAGGAAACAAGCACATCGTTCACCAACTACAGATGAGCTCCACGGAATTTTGTGGAGAGTAAAACTAACCAAGAATTAAGAGGGTTTTGAGCCGATGAATTTTTCATAGCGCAGAACCGACGAAAAAGTAGGAGCGTTTTAAAAATTATGCATTTTCGCAACATATAAGAATATAACTGACAGAAAATCAAGGGGGTTTAAAAATTATGCATTTTTTCACACAACAGTACATAACTTGTGAGAAAAATTATACATAAGCGTATAAGCATATAAGAACGTTTAAGCTAAATAAAGTCTCACAAAGAGAATGGGAATGGAAAAGGCTTGAGTTATTCAAATGCTTGACAAGATGCGGATAGTTTTGGACAAGATTAGCTAGAAAGAGATTGATGCTTGCAAATTTATAAAGGTAAAGAAAATGCTGTTGAGCAGCCAGGCTGCGGCTGGGACTAAGTCATCCTAGTTTAAGATGATGTATTTTTCAAGAGTTGGAAAGTTTGACAATTGACAAGGTTTGTCAGGAATAAACCCAACAAATAATGAATTTTAGTTTGAGAGTTTAGAAATGAAGAGATAGATTGAAGTTTTAAGAATAAAACACGAGAATTCGGTTGGGCTGCGACCGGGGTGAAATCACCCTATTATAAAGTTGATATATTCAAAAAGTCTGTTGACACTCGAAGAAATTGCTTGCAAAATCTTGGAGTAACCACACACACAAATGCAGAAGCTGGACTGTGTAGAACATCATGAGTTTTTGGAACAAGGAAGCAGTCCTTCAAGGACAAGATTTAGCAACAGGATTAGTAGAGAAATGCAGCCTTGTAGGCTTCCGTAAGTTGCGTGAGAACCGAGGTTTTCCGAGGTTCTCACAGAAAGTGGAATTTGTCCCCAAGGACGAGAATTTGGGTTCTCAATTTAATTTGCTAAAAATAGAGCTATAAAATTCGGGACAAGGTTCACTGGACAGAGTTGAATTTTGCACGATACGCAAGAAGCTTTTCCATGTGGAGATCCGCTTGGGTTTGCAACTTGAATGCAAGTGCTGAATCAGATGAAATTTAGAAATCAGGAAAGGAAGAGCTGAAGGATGAGGATTAAAGATCTATTCAAAAATGTCCTTGCTGGGCCTGGGAATCAAACTTGGGTTTGGTTCCCAGGCTCCAGCAGAAGCTGCAAAATTTTCTTTGCATATAGAGAAGAGGAATTTCTAATCTGGCGCCAAATTGTTGGTGTGCTGAAGTTTTTTCCAACATAACTAACCAAAAACTAAGAGGGTTTCAAAACTATGCATTTCTCACAGTGCATATAACTGACTGAAAAGTGAGACAGTTTCACAATTTGAATTTTTTGCAATACATTATAACACAACTGACCAGAAATTGATAGGGTTTCAAAAATATGTATTTTTTTACAATATAGTAAATAACTGCTGGCCAAGAATAAAGAGGGTTTCTAAATTTTGAATTTTCCACACCACATACATACGGACGACCAAAAATTAAAAGGATTTCATAACATCATTTATTTTTTTGCAAATAAAAACTTTGGTTTTCTTACTCGTCGCTGGTTCACTAGATCTTCCTCAGTGCTAACCAACACGTAGTCTGTGCTGGGAGAAGCAACGTCGTTCCTGTTATTCCCCGGTCGTCGACTTCTGCTGGTGCTGCTGACGATCCTGGGGTTCGCCTGACCCGACTTGACCAATGCTCGCCTTGACCCACCTGTCGAAGTCCGGCTCCTGCTTGCTCTCTGCAGCTGAAGCGACTCTGGCTGATGAGGCTGTCGTCCACGGCTTGAAAAATGAAGACAGAAAGATGCAATTAAAAACAAAAATTGAATATACGGGTAATATACAGTGGGGCCCTGAGCCAGCAAAGAATGGGGACTTTGCAGCTCTAATTGGCAATGCGTTGGCAAGGTGTTGGGGCAAGAATGTTGTGGCAATGTCAAGTTGGTCATCAACATTGAATGCCCTCACGTTTTGCCTGCCATTGGCCAACGCATGTGCAGCAGTGGGTTGCCAATGCCCAACAACAACGTTTATAATAAAAAGGCAACATATTGCCTCCAATTCAATAGCCATTGTCAAAATGCATTCCCAACGTGATGCAAATGACATTGCCCCAATGTCTGACAGCAGAAAAAAAAACTTTTTCCTTTCCATTGCTGATATTTACTTCTTTATTTTGCCTTCTTTGTGCTGCATTCTTTCCTCTTTACGCCATCTGCAAGTTATGCAAACCTTAATGCGTTTCTCAAAACATGTTGAAATGTAAAAAAAAACATCTACATGTTGGATCACATTCACCTCGACTTCAAAATTTTAATACAATTCTCAATTTTGATAAAGAAACAAATCGGAGGAAAAAGTCCACCAAAGAATTCAATAAAGATTTGTGTCGACTTCAAAGTGCGGAAAATAATTTTGCGGAAGAACTCCTTCCGAATCCGATCTTTTTGCATTTAAAGGAGTTTAGAAATTAAAAAAGCAAATATACAGTATTGCTACAGTGAGCTCTCTCTTTAACAGTCTCGTCTGAAACGATATTCTCGGTATAACGAATTTGTCCTATGTCCCATTAAGTTCTTTTCTCATGTTGATGTTCGTGGGGTTCTCTATACAACGAAATTCCATCTACAACGCATTTTTTCAAATCCCTTGAATTTCGTTGTATATACTGTACAACGTAGCTGCAAAAAATACCTGATATGAAAACCACAAAAAGCACGTTACGGATGAGAAAAAGCTTGAATGCATTTTTAACAAGCTTTATTTTTGATTTCATGTCAATGAGATTACCTCGTCTTTTTTCAAGCTATGCATACAAATGTTGACCATAACGCTTTTTTCGTTAGAACTTTCATCAGTGATACATTATCTAAATAATGTGCCAGAGAGAAAATTATAAAAATAAAATATACGTGTATATAAAAGAGCAAATTATTATTTTAAAAATTCAAATGAACAATTGGATTCGGTTTCCTTTTCTTTATACAAAATTTAGATGATCTGAATTTCAAAATACTTTATTGATACAGTATATTATATTATGGCATATGCACTATTGCTATTGAATATCTCCCGGGCCACGCAATGAAGTCTAACAGAAAGAATTGACAAAGAATCATTCTAAATTTTGGTATCCACGAGATCTGTAAAATTTTGAATTCTTCCGCAAAATGTATGCACGGGGTTTTTCCAAAATCTTGTCGATCTACTTCTTAATCAGAGAGAAAAAAACGAGTTCCACGCTTTCATCATAATTCAAGGCATGGTTTTCTTCGAGTTTCTTGTTTAACTCGCGTTTTTATTTCTGAATGAAATTTTAATGATAACACGTTACGATGAGAACAATATACAGTATTTCAACGCTGTTTAAAAACAAGCAAATATATTTTGGAGGTTGTTCTAGAACAGTGGGGAATCAAAGAGACAACTGAGTTAAACAGGCATTCATAAAAATTTTATCATCCGATGATAGAATACCAATCCGTAAACTTTGAATGGCGGACGAAAAAAATTGGAAAAACATTCCTCCATAGAATTCAATGAAAA